TTAAAAAAAAAAAAAAAAGGTTGAACCCCAATCTTGAGGGCCCCCACCGCCCCTAGAGCTTTGTGAGGGAGGTAAATCTCAGAGTGTGCTCCAACAGGCCAGGAAACAAGAGCCCCCACTTTACTTAAAAAAGGTTGAACCCCAACCTTGAAAGCTCCCCCCGCCCCGCCCCTCCCCTAGAGTTTTGTGAAGGAGGTAAATTGCGGGATGTGCCCCAGTAAGCCAAGGAACAAGAGCTGCCTGTACACTGCGCCTACAAGGAGTCCAATTTCATGTCTCCGGAATCGAACTCCCACACTGCGACTGCCAGCAAGACGTGAGATAACCCCACTTTACTTAGTTAGGGAGAGGGTGGTTTAGGTGTTTTCAAAATAATTGGTAGAAGCCAAAACGTAAAGAGGTTGTAGAGAACTCATTTCATTCAAGCAGAAATTGATGATTGGTTTTTGGAGAGCCAAGGCCTATCGAATGCCTTGGAATTTGTAGTTCATTTTCATTTAATTCAGTTCAATATAACAAATAGACATACAAATACAATTTGTCTTGTTATTGAATATTAATTTCCATGTATGCAATTTAATCTGGATCCCATAAGAATCCATAAGAAGTTTCTCAATATCGTTCACAAAACAATGAGCTTTTGTTTAAAAAATTGCTTGCTGAAGAAACTTGTTCGAACTTTAGGTATTTCAAGCTGATAAAGTTTCTCATCACTGAGATAACCAGAGATTGTGATGGTACCGCCAAAATATGGTCTTCATAGGTCTTGGAGTCTCGGTTTCCATGGATAGGTTGATAACGTATCAACTTATTTAAATGTTTCATATTTTCTTTTTGATTTGATATGTGAGATTTGCCTTAATAAAATTCATTCACCTGTTTTAACATTTTCCTTTTACACTTGTGATCCTGATAGACTCATTTGATGACATTATACTTGATCTACGTCTGATTATTGCTTTTTGTTGTTGGTATCTATCAGAAGAACACTATTTGCATGTTGCAGTAGTATTAAATTTTAAGGCATGAAATTGTATCAATTATGATCAATTATTTAACTTATTTCGCTTCTCGACTAGGAGAATATGTTGGTCTGACAGGTGCCAGGTTGGCTGGTGCTGAGATGCTTGCATGCGGTCTAGCAACTCACTTTGTTCTGTCAGAGGTATGATCCTAAGCTCCCGGGATTAACATGCTGCAACTATTATTGGCATGAATTTACGAAACACAACTTTTCTTGATTCCGCTCATAAGAATTCTTATAGGTTCGAAGTTTTATATGTCTAGCATGGTTTGTTGTCAAAATAGAGTTCTATGTTCTAAGAGAATTCATTATGGACTTAGATATTCTTGTTGTCATTTTTTCATATTGTTTTTAGGGCACTTTCCGGTGGTCCGGAACTAAAACTTTATTTTTGTACCTGATCTAGGACCTATTTTCATTAGTTTGTCGAAAAGTGGGAACAATCCTTTAAGATTGCTTAGATATTAGCTAAAAATTGGAAGCTTCAATTGTTTGTTGTATTATTGTAAATTTGTTGTTTATGGAGCCACAGCTAAATTTCGCTATTTTTTTTTTAGCTGTGATGAGAAGGAAAACAAAATTGATATTTTCGGTTGAAATGTCCTAAGCTACACTGGAAGATTCTCCCATACTCCCCCTCAATCATGTAAGAAGATGTTTATCGTTCTCAGCTTGCTTTTAATGACGTCAAACGAGTGATTTGAAAGTCTCTTAGTCAATATTTCTGTCGCCTAACTTTCTGTAGATATGTAGGGAATGCATATTAGACCAATAGTGCTTAGAGGTGGATTCCCAGGCCGGATCCTAGGTGATAAAGGGCTTTATGATGTTTCTCAGGGAAAAGTGGTTGCACCTCACTACATTAGCTGCTCTACCATATCAGATCCAGTGGTCTTGTGTTCGATTCTCTTGAGGGAATAATGATGTGGAACATCACTTGAATATGAGAGTGTGCCTATTTCGTAAGGGATTCTTCGACGTAAGGTCCATACGAATAGTCTTTGGGATGGACTCTCAGGCGTGATCCTGTGTGATGAAGGGTTTGATTGCAGCTCTTGTTCCAGCTATAGCTTTTGGGAAAAGTGGGTGAATCTCCCTACATTATAGCTCCTTAGGATTGAACTTGAATTACTTTCTACACCCAAAAGATAAGCTACGGAGGGTTTAGTTATAGTATGTAACAATAACATCAACTTCTCCTCTGGGCACTTGTGTATTTATCTGTCAACCTATGCATATTCTTTCCGTACATCAAACTTATGACTTGGGCCAATGGGGATGTCATCTGGTCTATACACCATAGCATTCAGTTTCCATGAGGAGGTATAGTATATCCTTCTGCTATGAGATTACTATTCCATCTTTTGTGTGAGCAATCTCAATCCTTATTCCAATCTTCCAAGGTACTTAAATTTTAACTCCTTTTGCAAGTTGCTCCTTTAGTTTTCCTATTTCCTCCAAGTCATCTCCTGTTACAACAATGTCATCCTCATAGAGCATGAGGATCTTAAACTCTTTCGTGGGGGTTTTCCTTCACTGTGGTTATGCTCCAAAAAAACCCCAGACCATGCCGTAGGTGTTTGTTCGAGAATTGTAGAGATTTTTTATGTTTGTATACTTTATTCATTCAAAATTCGTCAACAATGTCATAGTTTCATACGAAACTTGATACAATGCTTGAGATGTAGGAATTCATGATCCCATTCCCAGATCTTGTGGCTTAAAAGGCCCCAGGATGACTTAGGTTGTTTAGGGGCTTCAGGTTTAAGTGATATGTTTGTTATTGTTGGTCATTGAAAGGATACAAACTCCTTTAGCAACTTTTCCACCTATCAATTTTTGAATCTCTTTGTTCAGTTGTTCCTTCTCCTTTTCCTTAGCACCACCAGAAAAAGCTAAAGGCTCTCGTTCGGGAGCCGGCCTTAACTCCCCCAATAATGTCTTTCCTTTGTTTAAAGAAAGTCCTCTCTGAGCTAGAAAAAAAGTCAGTATTTGTCCAACATGATCTTTTCCCTTGGTACGAGGATTCTTCTATGAAGGAATGCACCAACCTAACACCACTAGAGCGTTAGATGTTGAAAACCTTTGTTTTCCTAATGTCTTTCTAACAACCTGCCAGTAAAGAAAACCATGCTGGCAAAGGAAAATATACTCCATTACTAATTAGGACCTTGTTCATCAAGTAGAGGGTGGAATGTGATTCACTCCGGGTTGGTCAAGGTCTCCACTCAGACTACTCCAGATATCAATTCATTGTTGCTACATGTCCGATGTGGTACTTTTTGCTTTATTTCCGGCGGAGGGAATAAAGTTGCCCATGAGTTGTCATGTCATGTTTATGTTGAGTTTGATGATAGAGTCTTGAATGTATTTTTCTTTTTATTTCACCTGTAATTTGAGGCGATTTACATTAATAAAATACAATAGTTTGCTCTCAAAAAAAAAAAAAAGGGGAACTTCATTGTATGTATATTCCAGCTTAAAATGCTTCTTATAACCACGTTCTTTTAACTGAATACATTCAACAACATAAAAAGCACGTGAAAAAGGTATGTAGATTATCTATTAGGAAGTTCAAAGAAACACACATTAATCATACAAATTAACCCTTCCTGTACATGTATCCAGTTGAAAAATAT